AAGGGCCAGTCAGTACAAGCTGCACATCGTTAGCGAGGGCTTCGAACGCTGATTCCAGAACTGTTTTCCGTATTTGCAGAGCACTTTAAAAAAGAAATTACATTCATTTTTAAAACGAAAAAAGTGAACCTATGGCCGGTATAAAATTAATTTCAGCCTTTCAAAACGTCAAATGGAGAAATGGGAGGTAGTGATGTATTAGGCAGAAAGAATTTGTTGTATGAAGCATCCTGACAAGTGCCGCTGCCTCGTTCAAGGTCTAGTGAGGCTGTAGCAATTGATTTTATCTCATCCATGAGTTCATTTCCAATTAAAGATTGTTCATAACTTATTTTCCAAAAACGCTCCGTAGAAAGCAGATAGGGGAAGCAGAACTAGAATTAGAAATCAGCTAAAGATCAGAAGAAGACATTGTCAAGTAAGTTATTAACCACTAAACAGTGTGCACATTTTTTTTTGAAGGCATCCTGTATATAAAGAGTGTCCTAAAAGTAAGTACACACTTTTCAATCGTTAATATCTCTCTTCCCTTTGCGTTTTTTTCCGCCTTTTAAGTAATATTCTGTAGAGGAGGGTTCAGCTTAATAATTTGCAGTATCGAGCGAATCACGATCGCTCATTACTGTGGGATTACTGTAGGAATTTCGACAAGGATTTTAGGCCATTGGAAGCCAAATTCTGCCGTGGAACAAAACCAAACAAGCCAAAAAGCCTTGTGCTAAGGTTGTGGAAGCCGCTGGTTTCGAATATGAAATTTCCACTTTACTGTGATGCTTCTTTCCAAAGTTATCCCAGGTAAACCGTAATAACCGAACTAGTATTTGTCAGAAATGTGATCGCACCGTCAAAAAAGCTGAAAACACTCGTAAAAAGTTGTGTAGTGGAATCAGCGTGCGCGAAAACCCTAGTAGACAATTTTTAAATTTTTTGAAAAAAATTTTGTCAGATGGCATATTTCTCAATGATTCTACATGCTGGAAGTTCTTCCCGTAATCCCACAGTAACGAAGGGCGATCGGTGATTCGATCGATATTGTATCTAAGTTGAGGCCTACTCTACAGAATGGTACTTGACTGGCAAAAAAAGACCTATTGTGAAGAGAGATATTGGCGATTGAAAAGTGTGTACTTACTTTTGGGACACCTTGTATACAGGGTAAAAAAATGACAGTTGACCCTAGTCATGTTCCTGTCCCAACAGCTTCCATAAGTTTCAGTGGAAATCATTGTTCACTCAGATTCTCGATCTTTAGCTTTTGTCCTCATCCCCTGGTAAGACACTTATCTCAAAATTGAAGTTTAAAGTCGCATTGGATTTTCCCAAAGCGTGACCAAGCGTAGGGAAGCAAACCCGACGGATGTATAGGCTAGTAAAACATTTTGTCGTTTAATCTCGACACCGCAAAGAGACTACATTAAAGGCTTTGAATTCGACAGGGTGTAATTTGATGTATTATAATGACGAACGTATTATGTATTATGTATAACTGAATGCATGCCCAAGTCTGCAAAACATGTATTGAAGCGAGAAAATCGCGCCAGAAGGCGTACGCTGAGTGATCGTCACGAGTGTTAGCGTTCCAAAGCTCCGTCTAAAGTGCCGGAGTTGTGCAGGCGCTCAGACAGCCTGAACAAAGTCCAAAGGTAATGAGCCAAAAGTAGACTCATTTTAGACAAGTCAAGAATCCCCCTTTACATCTTTGACATCTTGGTAGCAGTGGCGGTCCCAGGATTTCCGTCCGGGGGGGGGGGGGGGCGGCAAAAAAATTTTTCAAGTAAGGTGCGTGGCGTTAGCCACTCCGAAAAATTTTTGGGGTGCTTCTCGAAATTTTTTCGGGCCCAGGACCCCTAAAATCCAGAAAAAGGGGGCGAGATAAATGTCGAAAATGTGTTCCACATTTTTTATCAGCCTTCGGATGCCAAAAGAATACTTCACATTGACGTCATTATTTCTTTTAGCATGCGGCAATCTTACGAAATCCGGAAACGTTTAGTCATTTTGTTTTGAAATAACCGCACAAATTTGCAGCCACCAGCAATTTATCGCAAAAACAGTGTGTGTTCTAGGTTGATGCAAGTTCTTTCGCACCAAATTCAAAAATTCATAACTTGTTGAATTCTCAACGAATTACAGGATCTAAATTTTATATAAGAGAGGAACTCATGCTCTTTGCAACTGTTTTTGAACTACTCGTTGATGTCTACAAATGAAGGAGATAGAAGCTCAAAACTAAAATTACTTAAAATTTGAATTTTTTTCGTGTAAGGTCATAAAAAATCTTGCAACAAATCGGAGCAGTCAGTATTGTAGGTTCTTTTACCAGCTCCTTCCAAAAGTGCAAAGTTTGCGCCGATTGAGCGTTTCTGTGAAAAGTTATGAATTCTGTGAAAAATGCCAAAATAAATCAAATTCGCCCTTTTGTACTGCTTGCTCGAAAATCATAACTTTTCATAGAGACGCTCAATCGGCGCAAACTTTGCACTGTTGGAAAGAGCTGATAAAAGAACCTATAATACTGACTGCTCCGATTTTTGTTGCAAGTCTCCGATTTTTTATGACCCTACACGAAAAAAAAATTCGAATTCTAAGTAATTTTGGTTTTGAGCTTCTATCTCCTTCATTTGTACACTTCAAAGAATAGTTCGAGCACAGTTGCAAAGAGCATGAGTTCCTCTCTTATACAAAATTTAGATCTTGTACATTCGTCGAGAATTTAACAAGTTATGAATTTTTGAATTTGGTGCGAAAGAACTTCTGCATCAGCCTAATAATATCAGTCAACCTTGCAGCATAAGTGTGAGGGTTGAAGACAGGGCCCGGCACGCGTTGGTTTGGAGGTTTTTAGGAAACGAAGTCCCCCATGACTTCGCGAAAATTTACGAAGTCCCCCTCGACGTGAAAATCGGTAGGGAAACCCTTATTCAACCAAAATAGCAACAAAAAAGCGAAAGTGCACTTTGAGGTATGTAATATAACACAAAAGCAAAAAGAAAACATTTCGAGTCGATTAAAGGCTCGGTATAGTACCATTTTGATGCTGGGAATGTCGAAAATCTCCTAGGCCAACCAAATCTGTAGCCTCAACAATCCTGCGATGCATTTTTCGCCACATATCTCAAAGGACACCGCAAGTGATTGGAGCGCGGTATCTATCAACGCGTAAAATTATACTACTTTTGACTCAAAAAAAGGGGAGAGGCAACGATTTGATCCGCTCTTTTCACTATATGATAGATTTTTGACCGTTCTAATCGTCCAAATCAAAAAGGTCCAGAACTTATGTGAACTCTCCGATATTTATGCTCCGAACCAACCCAGTTGGTTTGGTAGTTGGTCTAGAAACCAACAAATTCGAGAACAGATATTAGGACACATAAGTTTTGTGAATTTTTTACATAACATAGTTTGGAGTAATATTGTATACACATAGCCCAAATTCGGAGCCATGTGATTGTTTGTGCGCTGTAAACAAGCCATTTGTTTGTTTGAGTCTTGCATTTGAAATTCGCGCGCTTGCGAAAGAACACGTTCAACTCGTGAAACCTGACATGTTCGTCGTGTTTTTTTTGGCGCTTCCTCCAGGACCTCATAAAAACGATGTCCCCGTTGCTTCTAACTCCAAAAACGAAGTCCAGTTTGACCCCAAACCATCGGTGCCGGGCTCTGGTTGAAGACATTTTGCTAACGAAAAAAAAACTTACAATTGGGAATTGCAGTAGCACAAGTCTGCCAAACCTAACGGCAAGCTTATCCTTTCTCAGTGACTCGCAAAGCTCACAAAGTCGTTCCAAAGATCTCCCACCAAAGATGATTGATACTTTTCCGTTATGCAGACTCATTTTTAAGGAGTTCTCATGGAATATCCACTTGACAAGGGAAAATATTTCTTCATCTTATATATAAAGCTGAATGTCTGTTTGTATGTATGTCTGTATGTCTGTATGTCTGTATGTACGTTTGTTCCGAATAGAAATTTTTATTTCTGAACCGATCCGGACCAAACTCGGCACACATACATTTCGGGCCCCGGCGGATGTCGTAGGCTACTTTTCGTCATCGATCGATATCGATTTTATCGATTTTTTGCAAAACTTAAGCTACGGGGCTGGGAGTTGGCACAGGGGGGTAATCGAGCATGCTGATCACCCCCGTGGGGGTGATCAGCATGCTCGATTACACCTCTCTGCCAAATTTCAGCCCCCTAGCTCAAATTTTGCAAAAAATCGATAAAATCGACATCGATCGATAACGAAAAGTGGACTGTGACACCCGCCGGGGCCCGAAGTGTATGTGTGCCAAGTTTGGTCCAGATCGGTTAAGAAATGGAATTTTCTATTCGGAACATACGGCGGAGCCGGATAAGCCAGCTAGCAGATTTTATAAGGACTGTCCCCCTGCCACGTGTCAAAAAAATCAAAAATAAAAATGTTGAGTTTGACATGTTTTTTCAGATCATTTTCGGTCGAAAGCAAAACGGTCCATAATGTTTACTAGAACATCTTGTTTGCTTCCAGCAAAATTCAGAGAATTTTTTCTTGAGACAGCCTATGCCATGCGTATTGAGGCACGAAAAGATCCCTGAGATAGCATGGCTCCGTCATCTGAGCTGCCCCTGTTTCGCAGCTTAGATGACGGAGCTCTGGCGCAATTATTGTTTGTTCTGTGCTGATTAATATGTTCACTGGAAGAGTACAACATGCTGATAACGCAAGCATTAATTTTTGAATATAATGAGTCAAAAGGGGTCATTATTGATTAGAACAGATTGAACTTACTTCGGCAATTAGGCAACACAAAGCTTCGTAAAACCTTCTCACATGTAGATGACATGTCAATTTTTTTTGGTACGTGGCAAGGAGATTGCCACAACTTGCTGTGAAGTTAGGACGGGCTGGTTATGATACAAGGAAAGAACTACCCTGTCTGGATAACGTAAACGGACCTAATTATTTTCTCGGTTATAACGCTTCCTTTTGTAAACGAATATCAAATATGCTAACCTGTACATTTTTTCGGGTATTGCAATTACGCCAGTTGCAGAAACAAATGATCACTGTGTTCTTGTACTGCGACGTAGATACCGGGTATAACGGCCCGCATGCATCATTATTCTGAAAAAGTAAGGTATCATTACATAGCTTCGTCAAAGAGCTCACAGCAATGTAACGTTTTCTTGCCGGTAAGATGAAAATACACTTAATCGTCCCCAGCGGCGGGCGATCTCACCACTTCGGACGCACTATCCAAATAGGAACGATCTTGTGGGAGGGGAGGGGGGGGGGGGAGCAAGCGTAACGCGGGAAATTGCGCAGCATCAAGCATGACTACGTTTTCAAAGAAGAGGACTGGCCAGAAGGGAGCTAAATATCGTAATCAAGAGAAAAAGCGAAGGAAGCATCCTTATTGCAAGGTCCAGAGCGAAGCCACATATACAGGGTGTCCCAAAAAATGGGCACACTGTTTGATCGTTAATAACTCGCTTGCTTCGATGTCTCTCACCGATCTTTAGGTACAATTCTGTAGAGCGGTAACTTAGGTTTACAGTATGGAGCAAAACTTTGGCCTCTTTTCGCTACTGTATGATAACGGTATGAACTTTTAGCACAAAGCGCCATTATGAAATAGGACGTTTAAAAAAATTCCAAAACTCCGGAAATTTGTGTAGCAAGGTTCTTAAGCATGCTGATTTCATTACGCAACTTTTTACGAAAATTCTGAGCCATTTCAAGGCTGTAATTACATTTTCAAAGAACATTGAAAGAGCGTTTGTTGCTATTTCCTGAAATAACTAATGGAGGAAGCATGACCATAGCGTTCAAATTCCATATCTGTAATCAGCGACTTTAATTAGCCTGATATCAAAGTTTCTGGCTTGTATGGTCTCTTTCCGGGGCGAAATGCGACTCTTATGGCTTAAAACCTTCTTCAAAGTTCCTGTCGTAATCTTACAGTAACGAAGGAAGGTCTGAGTTTCGCTTCATGCTGTAAATCTAAGTTGAACCTTGCTCTATAGAATGGTATCTGAAAGTTGTTGACGAAAGACATCGAAGCAAGCGAGTTATTAACGATCAAACACTGTGCAATTTTGGGACACTCTGTATAGTACTACTATTATTTGAATGCACTCATACTATTTATACTTGAGTTCATTCTTTCAACGTTTCGCCAATGCGAATAAGTCAAGACACTGATATCGGCTGCTACTTCAATACTCGCATGACGGGAATTCGATTGATGCCCTGATTAAATCAATGGATTCTTCAGGTCAAACAAGCTGTGGCTTTTTTAGAAGAGAGGAAACCGTTCCACCTGGATGCCACTTGAGCTAGACCATCGTACCTGCATATTGAGAGATACATACTAACATCAGGATGGTTTCACACTCCTTTCAATCTGCTTCTTCTATAGCCGTGATTTCAAAAGTGTTACAATCTCGCTTTAATCGCAAGATAACGCACTCCAAATCTATGTATAGTTTCATAAGCGAGACCAGTGCGAAAAAAGGCACTTTATGCAATCATTTTCACATCACAGGATCTTTGTAATTATTAGGTCATTCCGAAAGTAATTTCGCTTTTTTCAAACGGGCGCCACATTCGATGGAACAAACATTTCTAAGAGATCTTGGCAGCATTCGATGCAGAATTTCATTCTCTTTCTGAGGGTTATGAAATTGTTGCAAAACAGTCAATGGGGCTTCAGAAAATAACTAAAATTTGCGACCCATGCTTTTTGAGATGGTCAAGTTTCACAATTTTTCAAAACTTTCATATTAATCCTCAGAAAAAGTTCAAGTGACGGTTCGATAGAGCAAACCTCATAGAACACAGCCCAGCTTTTTTCTCTTTCGATAGCTTGTCATATATTTTAAATAGAATTTTAACTGATGTTACCGATTTCCATATTTGTACAGCTAAATCCTCGTAGAACATCAAAGGAAGAGCAGCTCGGGCACTATTCGATGCAGCATTTTCTCCTCTTTCCAATGGGTGTTTTTTGTTTCCGATTCGTTTAGTTTTCGGGGATACAATTATCACAATTCAATTTTTTAAGGAGCCCCAGGCTGTACCCGAAAAACTCGAAACTTGATATTTTGAATCCGTAAACTCTCATTTGTTTCATAAAATCAATATTAAGTCATATATCATCTTGAAACTTTGAAATTCCGAGTAATTAGATGTTTGATGCGATTGTGGCTTAGGTGGGCCTGCCAAAATCCGATGGCTTTGAAAAAAAATTTTTAAATTATGGCTAGCTATGAGAAAGAGAAAAAGTAGTACTGTATGGTTTACTCTATCGAATCTTTACTTGAAGTCCTTCTGAGGATTGATATGAAAGTTTAAAAAAATCGTGAAACTTGACCATCTCAAAAAGCATGGGTCGCAGATTTTGGTTATTTTCTGAAAGCTCATTAATTGTTTTGCAACAGTTTCATAACCTTTAGAAAGTGAATGAAATTCTGCATCGAATGCTGCCAAGTTCTCTTAGAAATGTTTGTTCCATCGAATGTGGCGCCCGTTTGAAAAAAGCGAAATTACTTTCGGAATGACCTAATATTTTGCGAATTTGAAAGTGACTCGTTTTCAAATTTTCTATGTATCAACTTGTGCCACATCATCATCAAACATTCCACGATGCACTTGAACAAAATTTAAAAAACTTTCAATCTTATCGGTTCCCTTCTAGTGTCTCATGGGAAGGGGTAGAAGATACGCGGAGAAGAGATGGCAGGCGAAAGGAAGTAGAGCGGCGACGGAACCAGGACAACACTCCTTCAAATGGGACCTAGTTCACCTCGCATTCCAGTGGCAGTTCCCATAGAACAGCGTTTACAACTTCTGCAAAAAAAGACGTACTTGACATCACCATGGGGCCGTATCCCGCTCCAGAGTGGACAAATCTGAAACAAATAGCAGCATTCGATTCAGCTCGACAAGGCGCATCTTCTGATTTACAAATGTGCCGGTTTTTATAGCAAATACGCGCAGTAGGTAGCCAGATCTTATGAATCAACACAATTCTCGCCTAAGGTAGATTGGTCAGCGTGCAGTGATTGTGCATCCTGAATAATACCGAAGCAGAAATCTGAAAGGATTTGCTGAATATGGCTGTTTGTTATACGTCAGGCATTATACTGTATAAAAAAGGTGGTCCTGTAAATCAGAAGATTCGATTTGTAGAGCTGAAACGGATGCAGCTATTTTTTCAGGTTCTTTCACTCTGAAGCGAGATGTGGCCACGCTATGGTGGTGTCACCCAACTCAACTAACCGTCCCGTTTCATTTTTGCAGAAAACATGGGCGGTATTATGTTTGCACAGTTCTGCTTTTACTTAATGCTTCAGCACCAGAAAGGAGTGGATGGAGGCCGCGAATGGCATCATATTATAGCTGAGCAGAGGAAAGAAAAAAAATTAGGAATTAGTTCCACGCTGCTCTAGGTTCATGGCCGTTCGTATTTTTGCTTGCACCAAGTGCCTCTCCTTGCGATCTTGTGTGGAAACATGCATCTTCATCTGCCTGCATCAAGTACTTCGTCATAAACAAATAATCTATGACTTGTTATAGCAATGGGTTAAAGATTGTTTACGTTCGTTTGCACTGTCTTCTGTGCGTTGTTTGTTATGAAATTCTTAGAGCGAGTTTCTTGAGCTAGAACTTCAGTCATAGCACCGTTTTAGTATAAAGGACAACCACGCAAAATTTCAAGCGAATCCGATGCGTGGGTCATCCAAAAGTTGCGCGTCTAGCGATCCGCACATCTTTAAGCTCTCAAAACTGAATCCGTATTCAGATTCTTTGAGATTTGGATTTTTTCTCATTTGAAAAGCAAGAAATCGGTTTTAGGGCCAAAAAGTAGCTAAAAATTTGTTTAGGCACAAAATTGGGTCAAAAAGGGTCAGTGAGTAAGTCGTGATTTTTTGAGCTTCTATCCAAGAAACGAAACTAAGAAATTCTTTGCTCAGTAATAAAGCCACAGTGGTTCGCCCTTCGGGGCCACCATCAAGCCGTGACAATTTCAGTAGCTATTTGGAATCCGCAATTATTCTTCTGCAATTCCATTTTTCCTTACATGAAATAGCCTTAGGAATTAGGTGTTCACGATTCATTCATGATAGTCAGCATCGCATGGTGGGTAGTGAAGCTATCATTATGCGAGCGCGAGTAAGGCATAGTTAGTGGAATAGAGCCTCTGCGAAGCAGAGATGACACACTGATAACTGTATGCTGTAGCTGTTTGCATTCTCACATTCTTTGCTCTCTCTTTCGAACCTAGTTCGTCCTTGGCGAATGCAACACGTTGCATCCGTGCACTCTCTGTCTAACTTGGTTGTGTGCCTTTCCCACACTTAGGTGGGGAGATGATCAGCGAATGCACTAGGCTTCAGGCATAGTTGGCGCGATAACTTCTCCTCCCGATCTCAGACATCCGTGGTGAGCTCGTGCAATAGATCCGTCCACAAAACATCGCGAAAAAAAGAGTACTGCTGCGCTTTTATCGCGACTTTCGCGCTAATTGCGTTACTAAAAACAAGGCAGGAAAAATTTATAAAACTAGTCCAACTCGCGATTTCAGGTATACGCAAAATCAAGCGCGACAAATCACTCGATTGGAACTGCGCTCATTTTTTGCTCGTTTCCCCTCTTGAGGCAGCATTAAATTGCTTTCTTCGCATTTTCTTGTTATCGCGTCGGTTTTTACAAACATAACTGCTTTTCAAGTTTTCAAATTTTCAAATTACTGCTGTGCTACTGTAATTTACTATACTTTTAGCAAGACGCACAAGGAGTGGTCCGAGCCACCACTTCGCGGGATTGATTGAATCAAGAATCACTGCGCAAGAAACTCGCATGCCGCCGTTGAACTTCAGATCAGGGGGTTGCCTATAGGGTCAACGATAAGCTCCAGCCCTTGCGCGAATTGCTTTATGAGTAAGATAAAAGGGCCAGTATTTGCACGCCTGCCATTAATGTCCTCTCGTTATATCGATACCTGCTGTAAACAACGAATGAGTCCGAATTGGACAAACACTTCACACTTTTGAACCAACAGTCAGAATGCATTAGTATCAGAGAAACCCCGGCAGATGGGTGGCTGCCCTTCTTGAACA